CTTCTCCACCAAAGTAATCAGCGACGAATGGATGTCATAGTTGTTGGCATCTATCGGTGGCTTGACTATGCTAGAGTTCAGCCTCGTGAAAAGAGGAGCGAGAATTGACTCCATTAATTCCTCTCCTGGAGGTGGATTATTAGCTGCCATCACTGGTTCTGTGTTTGGCTTAGAAATCGAAGATCTTCCTCCTTTCTTTGCTTGGCTAGCTTTCGATTCTTCTTTGCAGTTTTCTCGATTTCTAGATCAAACTGTAAAGTGTCTCGATTTACTTTACCTCGCATAAACTCAAGCAAAAAGATTAGTAACAAAACAAAATCCAATCAAGAAAATCAAAAGTTATAATAAAATTGGCGTATAGTTTGGGGGAAGCTTTTCTATTTTCTTTCATTCTTGATATTGATCCGTCTCTGCCGCTCACGAACATGAACGGTGAATCTTCCGCGTTCCCTCTGCTCCCAAGTACCAAGAACTCTTCTTGAATGTGTAAAACTCTTTAATTCTGACCCCAAAATGTATTTTTAAGTGTAAAGAATTTGTGCCCTAGGTGGAGACTTCAAGTGGGCTTAAGTTGGGTCTTTCAGGGCGCTTAAGCTTGCTCATTCGCGCTTAAGCTTCCTAATTTACGAATGAAGAATTAACGTTCGCGCTTAAGCTTGCTTGGGCGCGCTTAAGCCTGCTGAGAATTGCATAGAAAATTAACGTGGCGCGCTAGAGAGCGCTTAAGCGCGCTCTTCGAGTCTGAACTTTCTTCTTGGCTCGCGCGTAATCCCTGAGTTGGAGGCTTAAGCGCCCAGAGGCAGAGGCTATTTGCGTATTTAGGAATATTTTGGGGGCTTAAGCTCCATGTTGGAGGCTTAAGCCTCCTTTTCAACAATTTGATGATCTTGATTTTCTTTGGATAGATCCTCATATCTTCTAGTTTTGATCTCCATCTATCATATCTTCACATTTGACTCCATTTATCATCAAATCTCTTCAAAATAGCAAATATAATTTATTTAATTCATAATCAGGTAATGTTCATGATTTTATGTTAAAACCCTAGATTTTGACTTGTTCAACTTAATAATTTATATTAATTTAACCTATAAAAACAAGATAAACTAGAGGTTTATCGGGTATTCAATCCCCGGCAACAGCACCAAAAACTTGTTGTGAAATCGGCAAGTGTACCGATCGTACCAAGTAATAAAAAGGTAAGTACAGTATCGTCTCCACGAGGATTGAGGTACCGAATTTATTATAACTATTCCTCTCTTGTTGGATAAATAAAAATAGTTTGAGAACAATTATAGTTTGTGAAATAATTGAGAACTATTCAAGAAATTGTAAATGATTCAAAAGTTCTTAAAGAAATTCAAGAACAACGGAATAAAAGTTGAGTAAGTAATTGAGAGAATATTGCGGTAAAGAGACGCCAACACCTTTATGATCCCCACCCTGTAACCTGAGTTAACGTTTACATTCAATTATGCAATTGATCAAATGATTCACTATCTTTTATTTAATTGGTTAAACCCTAATTCCTTAGCAGCTTTAACCTTATTAAGCCTATTAGGATCTTAATCCCTTAGAAATCCCTTTTTAAGTTAAACCTTCGAATCAGTGAATCTTTCACGTTTGCGGTTCATGTAGCCTATCACTAGTGCATACATGAACAGTTATCTTACCTCCTGTCAAGAATTAGAGTTCTAATATTCCTATTGAAAACCCTAACCCTCGCAATCCTAAAAGAGTGATCAGTTCTATAAGAATTATAAGATGAAGAACAAGATAAAATAGCTCAATTGACATAAATGAATATAAATTTAACCAAACTACAAGGGGTTTACATCAAGGGTTGTGACCCTTACCACAATAGTGAAACTAGCTAGACATATTCATGTCTGACAAAGTAAACATAAAAGAAAATAAAATTCAGAACCTAAAGAAGAGAAAGAAGATGAAGATCTTCCGTCTTGATCGTTCGAATCTTTGAAACTCCAAGAAGCTCCCAAGAATTCTCCCTCTCTTTGTTGTTTTTCTCTTCCTTGTTTTCAAAAAGTGCTTCCTTCCTCTGTTTCTGATCCTTTTATTAGGTTTTGGGAAAACCTCCTTTCAATTGCTCTCCAATTGGGCCTCCTTTTTGAGTAATTCACAACAGATTAAAATTAAAAGTATCGCCCACGCACTTTGCACCAACTCTGGCGCAATTTGCATGGAAAAACAGAGGGAAAGCTTTCAAATGGCGCACTTTGCGCCAGGTCTCGCGCAAAGTGCGCCAAGCCCGCACATTTTGCGCCAATGCCAGCACATTTTGCGCCAATGCCAGCGCATTTTGAGCCAAGATACAGGGACAAAATGGATCAAATGGCGCAATTTGCGCCAAGTCCCGCGCAAATTGCGCTAGGTGAAAAACTGCACTTCTCTCATTCACTTCTTTTTTTTTTGTGTTTCTTGCTATTAAAACACATAAATTGAGTGAGAGAATGATTAAGAAAGAATAATCAATATTTCTTACATTTATGACTTATTTTCACACATTTATGATTAATTTCTTGCTTCTTTTAAATTAGAAAGCATCATATGCTAGATCTAGATGCACATCATTGTGCGCACTGGTAAGTAAGTTGTGCTCCCAAAAGTGCCCGGATTATAGAAAAATAAATAGCATGCATTAGAGAATAGGAATAAAGGATCCTGTCATAATTTGCGAGATCAATATTCTTGGGGGCTTATGCGTAAAATCATGAAACTTTTTTAAATAGTCATATAACTTTTAAGGAACTTACAATTTTAATTATGGGATAAGTTATATTTACCTTCATTTTTTCTTATCATTTCTTATCATCAAATCTTAATCGTTGATTTTCGCCAATCTAATATTGATAATTTATTGAAAATTAATAATTAATTAAAAAATATGACTTAATAAATTATAACTATTAAATTGACAAAAATCAACGGTTAAAATTTGATAGTAAAAAATGGTAAAAAAATGATGATAAGTATAACCTCCCACCTTAATTATTTATATTCAATATTTACTACTCTTAGTCTTAATATTCCGACACACACGTACATGGATAGATTCAAAGGGCTAGCAATTTCCCTTGCCTCACAAGTTCGTTCTTTTCTATTAGTTACATGTAATGAGATTTTTTTTTAACCAATCCTAATTACTTCTTTGAGACGAGTAAGTTTTCTTAGGTATCCCGAACACTTCGATTGTTTGAACCGGCTATAAGACTAATCCTAATGCCGGGATGCGTCCGCGATTAAGATTTTATGCCTCTCCCAAAAGTAGTATTTGTGGAGATTAAATCGAGGTCCTTCTACCATCTACTCAGCTCCAATACACCAATTAAACTATCAGAAAAATATTTCTGCAGTTACTACATATAAGTTATCTGCATTTACTCCAAAAATAACGTCGTTTTGGGATTAAAAGATTAAAAAATTAAATTATGAAGACTATAATAGCCTGAAATAAATTAAAATTACAAAAACACCATGATTTCTGCCCTAAAACGACGTCTTATTGGACTTACTACAAATAACTTATATGCAGTGACGGCAGAAAAAGCAAACCCTTATACTATATGTAATGAGATTTCCATATTGATTTTTTTATTTTATTTATTTTGTACTAGCTCTTGCACTAATTTGTAGTTGCTCCCTGTTATTTTTAAGAAATTGAAGTAGTCATTGAGTTATTAGATGTATTTTATAATTTGTTTGGTCCATCAGATCAATAAATAAATAATCAAGCAAATGATTTTTTTTTTATTGAAAGAGACACGTATAAATTAATAGCATTGAGTTCAACTTCAATAAAAGTATGATACATTTATTTTCTAAACTATAAAACTTATATTTAAATATTTAAATGCTAAAGTAAATATACATTTTGGTAACATATATACCCATTACAATGGTCCTTTATTTTACTAACTTCAAAGGGGTCCTTCATTATTAATGAATGGCATAATGTGGTCCTTCAATTTGCTTTGAATTGATCATTCAGAATATGGAATATATATTCTTTTGTTTCAGTTTGCAGAGCTTCAAGTTCAATCCACAAACATAGCCAATTTTTTTGGAAATATTTCAATCTGTTCATCGCTTCGCAACTAATCCGATTCGGGGCGGATCCAGGATTAAGGTTTTAAACTCCAAAGGTGGTACTGGGAGGATTCGAACACATGCTCTCTCCCCACCTGCTCAGCTCCCATGCGCCAACTGAGCTACCACCATTTGGTCAAACATAGCCAATTTGATACAGCGTTAAGTCGATTCACCACGATATGTCAGAGTGTGATCCACAAACATTATGGAAGGATGAGGAACAAACCCATTATTCCTCGAGTGTGATCCACTTATATTGCGTTAAGTCGATTCACCACGTAGTAGTTAACGCTAAATAGTAAACACCTCCTAATACAATAGATTTCTGTAGGACACGAAAGCAAATGCCCTCAATAAGAGACGGATTGAGGGGGCGAGTGTGGACCATACCCCTTCCTCAAAAAAAATTTTCTTATTTAATATACATGTAGTTTTTTTTTTTTTTAATGAAAAACATTATGATTTTTTAATTCACTAATGCTTACTTTTGTTAAAGTTTGTTCTCATACTCAACATTTTTTGATGCGTCCTGTCTCAATCATTAGAAAATCATTAGACTCATGTGGATCCAAATAAAGAGAAGAGAGAAAAAGAAAAAATATGGACTACAATATTGTTATGTATCTACGGGTGAAACAATAATCCCATTATTAATTTGTTCAAACATAGTAGGACTTTTCAAATGGTAATCATACTAAGCCAAAAGGATTGGGTTAGTAATTTGGATAGTTTCATAGAGGTCATAAATGTTATTATAACAAACAAAAAACATAATCATACTACAGCAACTGTTAATTCCTCTCATGCTATGTGTCCTGTAGAAATGATCCAAACACTAATAATATATAAGACCATAATGGAGAGTCAACATAAATAAACAAAGCTTTTGGTCAAACAAGTGCACTCCCACCAAACATTTGCACAGCTTCGTTTAAGTCATCAACCAAAGCCATAGGCACCAGGAAAAGACCCTTACTCTCCAGTAGCTGACTGGCTGCTGCTGAATGTTCTTCAACTAGTTTCCCCATTATCTCTTCAAGGGGTTCATTGAGCATCTGTTGATTGATATAATGGCCGTAACCCTGCAAATACAACATACAAGTATTTGATGCGACACCTATTTGCTTGGTGCACAATTTGAGCAAGCACATGTATTCATAGTGATTCTTTTTTCTACTGAAATTAAGGATAAATGTGTACCTCATGAAAAACAAGTGGTAGAGCACTTGATTCAGCTTGCAGTCTACTTCCACTTAGTTCCTGCAAGGAACAATTTCCTTAGCTATTGTGCAACATCTATTTAGTTTGAGATAAATGTGTTGTTTTGATGTTGATTGTGGAACGTGTATCTTGTCTAACTTACTGAACTAATGCTGCCTTAATTTATTGTAGAACGACTATCTTATACTTTCTGCTATCATTGAATAATTAATACGCATGAAGTATGATAATAATAATCAGAAGCACACCCGATACTGTATGCATGTGACTACCTGAGCACGTATTTACAATTGATGACAATATTAGGAGTTAAAAGGTACCTTAATTTGAAGCTGCAAATATTTGACATAGTCAATGATATCGTCCAGTATGTACGCTTCACTACCCTACAAATTAAAATTCAGTTCACGAAGTAAATGTTGTAAAACTCAGTATATATATATGTAAGCAAGCTGCTTAAGTATTACTCCAAACTGAACTCAAAGTAAAACTTTTTGACAATGTTTTGTACTCATGTAAGTGTTTATTCTTTCAGAGATGAATTGTTCAGTCTTATGCATATTCCTAAAATCCACCAATCATAATGACGCTTTTACACATGAGAAAAAAAGAAAAATTTGATTATCTTTTCTAGTGATTCTGTTTGAGAATTAAGAAAACATCACACTATTAATGATAACTTGACAACTTACTAAATATCCAACTATTGTAGACCAACATTTATTGATAAACAAAAGATTACCTCTGCTGGATCTGGAAGCAACTCGTGTAAGGCTTTGAGGTTGTCAGCAATGCGTTGTCTGCGTTGCTATATTGAAGAGTACATGGGTAAGGAAGCAAAATTGTGTTGAAGAAACAGAATAAGATTGTTAGTTGACAAGTATATATTGATGATATCATATATCTGCATTTTGAATTTAGCATGTGCCATTGATTTTGTAATGTAAGGAGAAACACATTAGTGTGGACAAATGGCAAGTTTTACTTACACGGTCAGTGACGCGTGTTTTCTGTTTTGAGGAGCTGCATCCTGGTTTGGGAAGGAAAGCAGGTGCACCAACCATCACCATTGGATCGAGTCGTGAAGTATTGTGGTTATCTCCAACTGAATCTGCTGTCCATGAAGCATGGCTCTATTACAAAAATTATAGTGGAAATTATCATCAGAAATTTCAGTACAATCGAGAAAACTTTAAAATATTTTAACCATTGCATAGGCAAAATCCCTCTTAATGGCATTAACTGACCTCAGCATAAAGAAGATTTTGACTAATTTCAGTTTCAACTTTAATTGCTTTCTCTCCTTCATCAAGTCTCCAAAACCCCACCTGCTGAAAACACAGACCAAAATCTTCAATGAGCTTGAAAGTCAATATTAACTTTCATCACATTTACTTAAATAAATTGATAGCTTTTACCTTCCTAATGTCAATGTTATTACTTAAAGAATCAGCAGGTTTAAAACCATAAGCATTTTCATTTCCATTGACCCCTCCATTACCATCATTGATGCTTCCAACAGGTGGAAAACTGCTCCCAATCATATATTCAGGTGTAGCATTAGGCAGATAAGTTGAGGATTCTGAGAGATATTCAACATAATTATGAGAGGGTTTTGGGAGACAAGTCCAGTGGCTCCCATTCCTTCCAGATGCTGAAATAAAAAATTTTGGGTTTGGAAATAGATGATCCTCAGCTGAATGAGAGACATGGTTGCTGGTTCCTCTAGTGTCACAAGACATTAGTTGCACAGGGTTCTCTTGGTTACTTTGTCCTTCCATTACTACCACATTACAAAAAAGAATAAAAGAAAAAAACTTTATACCATCTGCAACCAAATCATATATGAAAAGGGAGAGAAAAACATACAATAGATTATATACACTATTTAACTAAAAAACAAAAAAATTGTCAAGGCAAGAACTTTCTCACTACCAATAGAAGAGAAGCACAGAAAAGAAAAAGGGTATTATGCAATGTGACAAGATTGAATTTTTTTGGCAGCCAAAGCAATAGTTTTAAGTTTAAAAAAGAAAAAAAGAAGGGAAAATATTGCAGATATAATGAAAAGAAGAAAGAGGGAGAGTGAGTAACCGGGACTAGGGTTTTGTTGCAGAGAGAAATGGGGATGAGAATGCGAGGGGTGCTCTGTTTCTGTTCTGCTTTTTTGTTGCTCTGTTATGGCTGGGTACGTACATGCAACAACGCACACAATGTGCAGTGCTGCCAATTGTACTATGGTCTCTGTTGTCCGATTCGTTTGAAATACCGATTATAACCTCCTTCTTAAACAAAATGTTATATGGGAACTTAACTACCTAAATTATCCTTTTTTTTCTTTTTTTCTTTTTATATAAACTAAGTGCAATTTTAGATTATTTATTAAAATAAGGCTTTTTAAAAATGAGTTTGCAACTTCTGCTATTATTGCAGATGTGCAACGGAGAGAAAAAAAAAAAAGGTTGTGGGATTCACTTTGAAAAACAAAATTACGAGTGTGGAGATAGAAGAGAGAGTGACATGAGAACAACCATCTGTTGTTGTATAAGAAATTTTTTTTTCCTTTAAAAATATGTTTATGGGAGTTGCCAAACACTATAATGTTAGAAAAAACTTCAAGTTAAGCTATTTTTAGATTAGTAACTTTTTTTGTTTTTGGTATCCTGAATAGTAACTTTTTTATTATCATGTATTTGTTTATCTATCCATTTATTAGATTGTATATATATAAAATAAATTTAATGTTTCTTATGTTATAAAAAATAAATTTATTTTTTACATATGTATAAAAATATATAAGATCTATATTTTTTTTCTCTTTTTTTTTTACATTGACTATATACATTTTTATATACGCTACGTCACGAGAAATATTAAATCCATATAATATGTAATAAATAAAGTCCACATATTTTTAGCATTCTTGGTTAAGTTCATGTTCGAGTGGACATTTGCATAACCTGTGGGAGTTTCATTTACTAAAAAATTATTGTTACCATTTTTTTTTTAAATATTTGTTTGCATTTTAGTGTACGGGGATTTCTGGCAATTTTTTTTCCCACTCTACCCTTATCTTCAATTCTACATATTACACACTCAGCTCTTACTCCATTTTTTTCTAACTTGTGTAGCTCCTGTTGGTTTTTTGAAAGAGTGACCCTCCCCGCTTTGTTTTCAACATGCTATGTGAAAATGATAGGTATTGAATATTATGTCTAGTGTATAAATATTTCATATTCAAGAATAAATCTATGAATCTATCTATCATTATATGATGTGATTGTGTTAATTGTGTATTTTATTACTTGTTACATTTGATGTTATGCCTGAATTTTTGAATGGAGTCGTTATTTTGAAAAGAAGTAACTTTTGTAACACTGTTTCAATAAAGTTTATTTTATCAAAAATATTTTTATAAATTTTTTCTAAACATAAGTCAATATAAAGACTCATTTGTGATCAATATTAAGCAGCAGAATCTATAAAAAAAAATTAAGCAGCAGAATTAAGTTTACCCAAAAGTAGGTTTATAAAAATTTAATCCAAAACACATTCTTAGATTTTTACAAAGCCCCCAAACTATCCTTACACAAAAGTTTATCAACTTTAACATTTGCCCAAGATCCCAACCATAAATTTTGACTTTCAAATGCTAAACTTGCACGACCCCTAGTAAAAATTTGGAGCGAGGATATTCTAACTATCAAAAATTCTTATTACTAACTTACTACCCATCACAACATCATTGGATCAAAGAGAGAGAATGTTAAAAAAATTTTGAAGAGAGAGAAAATGTTAATCCAATGGTGATTAGATAAGTAGTAAGTAGATAGTGAAAAATTTTGGGAGTGAGAATATCTCTCCTCAAAAATTTGATACGTTTGAGCTTATCTTGATTGGAAAACATTAATGTAGAATAATTAAAGAATATCCACTGTCATCTCTTCGAGAAAGCCCAGAATACTGGTCCAAAAAAACAGCCCAAGCCTATCTTAGAAGAAGTCAGAAAACGTGGCATATTGAGCCCGATCCATTACGTGCACTTGAAGAACACCATCACTATTCAGGCATAGAAGTATTCCACAAACACAAGAATATTCCTCATCCCCTGATTATTTAAAAAAAAAAAAAAAAACTCTTGTATTGTTATTTTTAAGGGGTGTGAGATTCTGATTTATTGTTGCACATTATCCTAATCCATTTCTTTTCAATCTTCTCTGTGATTTCAATTCCTTGATCTGCTTGTTGCTGCCATCGTCAACTAATCATGGTGCTTCATAGAGAACTCGACCTTCTCCTTTCTCCCTCTTTCATAGACCCTCCACAAGGTTACCATTTTTTCTTTTTGTTTAATTTTTCTTTTTTTAATTCAACTATTGTTCTCAAAGTTCCAAGCTTATACGGAGATTTAATTCGTGCTTCTTGAGTTGATCTTAAAGTTTATTTAATTTTAGAAAATTTGAGCTTTTTGCGTAGGCAGATCGATGTTCTTCATGCTTTGAATTTATGTGGTAATTTTGTTGAAAAATGAACAGGTGACGGTGCGAAATCCAGTGGGATGTCAATTGAAAAGAAGATTGAGTTCCTTGAAAGCTTGACCGGAAAGGTTATTCGTTTGCGCCCATTCACTGATTCTCTGTATTCCATTTGCAACCATACTCATTACTTTTGCTCATTCTGTTTTGAAAAAAACAATTTGTAGTTGTGTCTTAATTTCCCTGGTTTTAATTTCATATATTTTCTACTGTCTCTGTCAACTGTGACATTTTTCAATATTGGTGTCTCATAGCTATTTTCTATGGAAATTTATCCATTGGGGAAACTGATTAACATTATCCTTTTTCTTTTTTTTTTGTCTCGGCCTCTCGGGCCCAAGTATCTGTCGACATTCATGGACTTGCAAAAAAATCATCACATTTAGACATTTGGGTAGTAATCACAATATGAAACCAGTGAGGGAGTGTATGGTGTTTTGGAATTGAGTTGTTATTTTTTAAGGTTTAAATGAAGCAAACCAGAGTTTCTGATTGGTTTCTAAGTATAATAAAAAATCTTGTCTTTTTGACTATTTTTAGTCTTAACTAATTTTAAGTAGTTTAATAATTTTCTTATTTGAATCCGTTTTCTAAATGAACTCATTTAATGAAGATATTATTAGCAGAATGTGTACTCTGTATGTCACTATTGTACTTTAAAATAGCTTATAAGGAAACATTTGCTAACTGCAGTTGAACAATTGCTTTCTACAAATTGACTGTTTTGTGGATCTCACTTCCTTTTATGAAGTTTTGTGTCACATGTAGATATCTATGAGCTGAATTTATGTGTGTCAGTGATATACTGCAAGGCTACCTACTTGTGTTTTTGTTTACATTATATGTGGATCTCCTATGAGGCTGATCTTTGCTATTTGTTGATTTAAATCTTGTAAGCTTGCTTATATGAACGCATACTTGTACTTCTTCAGAGTTATAACAATTACAAGAAATCAATTATATGACTTTATTATCAGCTTACGAATTAACTTGAGATCAACATTACCTGTTTCAGGTCACAAATCGAAGGTCTCGTAGGTGGTTAAATGATCGTCTCTTGATGGAACTAGTACCGCGTTTAAATGCTGAGGAAATTCGAGGCTTATTTGCTCCACCACCTTGGGGTAATTATTTGAGTCAGCTGATGTATGTGTTATTCATTGAATTCATAGCATTTCTATGGCTGCCTATTTTTTGGCTGAGATTATGGTTGCATTTAGGCAAACAAGAATTGAATTGCACCATGCATGAGAGCTTACTAAATTTATGTGGTTTTCTTCTGTGTGTGCATGCTTTGTCACTGTTTAAGTGCATGGAAATGAAAGGGGTCACATTTTCACATTCAAAATTTATGTCAAATCTGCAGGACACTTTGAAAGTTAACTGACTTCAAACTTTCATGATATTTATTATAATTTATTGGTCATTATCCGATTTATTCTTTCTCTCCTTTTTTGTGTTTTAGCTGGTCTTTCCCTTTTTATTCCATGTTACTAATGATTGGGTTCATCTTAAAGGGGGCGAAGTTCCACCTTCAACATTTTGCATGACTAATGTGGAGGAGTGGGACAGATTCAGGAACATAGACATGGATAAGGAGGTTATATTTTCTTCTCTTATTTGTAGACATTATCTTTGAATTTTTTTACTCCTTAAGAAAGCAATTTAGCACACCTGCAATACAAGCAGTACTAATATTACTCATGGCCTTTACTTGTCAGCAATTACCAGTTGTAAATTTAAAATTTCCCAATTTTCTTTAGCAGTTATTTAGGATGGGTCTGAGTGTCATATAGGTTGTGTTGTGACTAGTGTTTACATTGTAATGGTGCTTGAGAGCCTGATAGTGCAGTGAAGGTATGCCGTATGCATGATGTGTATATATATGTAGTGGTTTGTGTGGGTATCGCGCCATGTGTGCATGTGCACATTAGGATTGAGATTAGCTTAGATCTAGCTGAAAGCATAATCTCTTTGCTGATTTCTGTACTTGGTTGGCATATGTAATTGCATTTTTGATTATATCTTCATGTGATGTGATGACAACTGATTAGCACCTCACTATAGGATTTGATTGTTTTGGTAGGTTAGTATAATTCGTGCCCTAGAAAACTCTGTAGAAAAGAGGAAAGGTCACATTGATGCTGACAAGATGGCAGTGTTGAATGGTTGGCATAGAGTTGATTGTAGAACAAGAGAGGCACTTCGCCGCAGCTCTCTTTCTGAACTCATAGAGGGTTATGAGGTATATATCTGAATAGTCATTTACCCCTCTCCATCCCTAAATCACCATGTTACACAGGAAAGGGGCTAATGGGCTATACTATTAGTGTGCTTTCCAATTGCTATAATTACAAATATGTTTCTTGGCATTTACATGGAACATTTTTCTTTTCTTCTTTTAGGAATGTGTACGAGTCTTCATAACAGAAAGCACAGATGGAGATGTTCTTGAACTACGAATTCAGGATCCTTTTCATAGATTGTTACTGCATGGTGTTTGTGAGGTAATATCAGATATGCCACTGCCTTTGTTAATGGTGAAAACTCGATGCTCTATTCCCTGTTAATGTCGAGAAAATTGTGGCACAACTTGGGGAAACTTTTTCCTCCCTCAATGGATTGTAACTTGAAAAACAATTTTTCTTTTTCTTTTTGAATGTTACCCCAAACATCATAATATAATTTTTTTATTTTAAACAAAACAACAGAAAATGTTTCACACCCTAAACATCGGAAAATATTTCCATGAAGATATTTTACATCAAACAAACTAGTGGTTGTGTTTGAGAGAGGGTACTTAATTTAGATGGTAACATCCAATTAATTACCCCCCGGACACATTAACATCCAAACTATCGTTACTGTTGTATATCCCGAGTGTAAAATTTTAATTTTGTTGGAATATTTTGTGAACAGTTCTACAACCTGGCCTCAGATACAGTGACAGATTCGGATGGCGTTGAGTCGTCAAAGATGACAAGGATAAAGAAGAAGAAAAGGGGTTCTCCTGAGCTCCCAAACATCACCCTCGCCCATTTTCTGAAAATGTCCAAGGAAGGAATTTGGTAGTTTCTTCAGCCACAGCAGTTGTCCATACACAATAAAACCTGTGGGCATCCACCCCGATGAACAATGTACAATGTTGTTTATTATTCCAGAACATCACTGTAAATTAGTTCGCCGACCTGTACTTTATTGGTTGATACCACCAGTCAACATAAGTTGTTGATTGTTGGTTTTCAATGTTGTAGCTGATTAAATCTGATTTTAATAAATATCATATTTGAAAGAAATTGGATCTTACATGATTTTTTTTATAGGGATAGGTTATTCTACCTATTATTTTTTTTGCTTATTTTTGTCTACTACCCTTCAATACCGTTAGATTAGAATCTTTAATACCGTTAGATTATAATCTCAATTATATTTTTTATTTCTCTCTCCTATTGAGACTAAATATGATTATAAAATACATGAGACTAAATATGATTATAAAATAAAATTTGTATGTGTAAAATTATTTCACAAAAATAACACAAATATAAAAGGATCTAAGTTTGATAGGTTAAGGAAAAAATGTGTGTCTTTTTACAAAACATTTTTAAGAGAGTGATAGACACAAAGAGATGTAGGTTTCTTAGAAAAAAATAAAATAAATATATTAGTCTCATTTTTTTTTGTCTATCTCTTTTAAAAGGATCTAAGTTTGTGGCCTTTAAAAGGACATAAATTTTTTTCATAGGTTAGTACCGGTGATCGGAAATAAAACATAATATGCTTTTCGGCATTATTATTTAATTTTTTTTAAAGGAAATTAATTATAGTGGTAAGAGAATTTTTAACAATTCTTTGACTACAAAATAATGTAATATAAAGATGGAGTAAGGTAGTATTCGTTGTTTAAAAAAATGTACATTATTAGTGATAAAATCCCAATGGAAAAAGTTAGTGGCGGCTGTGGAGTGGTTGGAGCTTTAACCAGTTTTACCAGTTCGGAGTTGAGACCGCTGTTCGTATGTCGATGGCTAAGAAACCTGTCAAATACTCGGTGGTATGTTCCTCTCTGCCAACTATGTTGTTGTTTTTGTTAATTACCGTGTTATTGTGATCTGAGTTAGATAAGCAGGTGGACGCGTTTACTGAGTCAGCGTTCAAGGGGAACCCTGCAGCTGTGTGTTTCTTAGAGGAAGATAGGGACCATCACTGGTTGCAATCTGTTGCCGCCGAGTTCAATATCTCCGAAACCTGTTACTTAACTCGCATTGCTGAGTCTGATGACAACCTTAACTCGCTCCATGGAAACTCTAATCCCCGTTTTCATCTCAGATGGTTTACTCCTGTTACTGAGGTAAATTGAATGTATTCATGATTATTAATAGCTTCCATTTTCATATTGGATGAAATTCTTTGAGCTCCATGAGTTATTAAATGCCTTATTTAAACTATTAACATTAATAGGAACCTTATGCAGGTGAAACTTTGTGGCCATGCCACATTAGCTGCTGCACACACTCTATTTTCATCTGATTTGATGGATGCCAATATTATTGAGTTTGTGACACTATCTGGAGTATTAACTGCCAAAAAAATCCCGGCTATCAATATCACTGGTGCCTCAAACTTGCAAAATGGTAAAGATGAGGATGGATTTTATATTGAATTGGATTTTCCTGCTGACCCTATTACAGAGGTCAACTTTGATGAGACTTCACTAATTTCTGGGGCATTGAACGGTGCTTCCATAATTGATATAAAGAAGTCACAAATTGGAGATGACTTACTTGTAATTCCTATATCTTCTCTCTTCCTTTTTCATTATTGTCTTGTACACTTAAATTACAGCTTAATTATTTCCAAGGAAACAACATATCCATGCGATACTGGTGTCTGGTGATGACTATTTTTCATTGTTATTTTCTCCTACATATATGTTAATCTGTTTGAATATTAGAAAATAGAACAGTATATATCTCTGTTACGAGAAGGGTATCTAGAAGAGAAAGGCAGCATTCAAATAGGTTGAGGGATTTTGTAGTATTTAGTGGCGTGACATATAAGTATCTGTTAGCTGTAGTATGGTAGCATCCGATGTTTTAGGCTTATTGTAATATTGAGTAGGATAAGGGTGGTTACATTCTGTTGTATTAGTCATGAAGTAGTCATTGCATATATATAGTCATTAGCTATGAATTGTAAGGCATGCAAAAATTGTAATAACAGAATCAGTTTGTTAGTTTCCCTTTCTTTCTCAGAGCTTTCTGCCCAAGCTCTTCTAACAATCTCATGATACACTAATCTTACCTCAAAATAACATGTATGTGTTTTGAGCAATTTGTTTACATCAAACATTATGAAGCTTATCATTTCTCCTAGGTTGAAGTCACATCCGGAAAAAATGTAACAGAAGTACAGCCACAATTTGATGCAATAGTTAAATGTCCTGCAAGGGGGATAATTGTTTCAGGGATTGCTCCTCCAGGATCGGGATTTGACTTCTACAGTCGATTCTTCTCCCCGAAAAATGGAATCAATGAGGTCAGTGGCTAAGAATTATGACTATAATGTTCCTCCAATATATAAAAACAAGTCCAATCTTCCATTTCAGTCATTTATATGGAAATAGAATGAATGAATGAGATTATGTTAAATAACTCGTATTTCCTTTCAGGATCCTGTTACTGGGAGCGCACATTGTGCCTTAGCAACCTACTGGAACAAGAAGCTGGGGAAGTGTGATTTCAATGCTTATCAGGTACTCTTCTTTCACTCATTGTGAATGTCTTTGCCATTGTCGTACTAAATGTAGATTGCATTTGTGAAGGCATCGCCAAGAGGGGGAGTTCTGAATATTCATCTTGATGAGAGGAACCAAAGAGTGCTTTTGCGTGGGAAGGCTGTTACGGTGATGGAAGGGTGTCTTCTGGTCTAGTCATGTTCCTACCGTTGCAGAGATGTTACACCAATATATGTATCATATGACAAGAGTTGTAATTGGAGTGCTGAGATATTATGATACTTTATCACATAAAATAACTTCTCAGCTTTCTGTATTTGATATGCACAAACCTGGGTGTGGTGTATAATAGTCACATCTGTTGAGTTGAATAAATTGGTCAGGTCTTTGCTTTTGTCAGGTCAAAATTTAAAAAAGAAAGCAAAATAGGAAATAGGAAAGATCTGCATAAGCACCTAATCACGATAAAAGAAAATTTTCAGCATTCATAAACACTCCTTGACAGGACAATAGGTATATATAGTTTTTCTTGGGCCATTTTATGCCTAATGGAGAAGAATTTGAACCTCAAACTTGCAACTTGCCCTAATTAGTTTTTAGTCAGTCCTAGAACGACCTCCAACAACTTTGGGAGCTCTTAATTGGTAGAATGAAGTCATGTTTCATGTCCTTGATTTTTTTTTTTGTTTTTTTGTTTTTTTCCTGTCCATAATGTTTGGGTCCTCGTATCATGTCAAAGAATAATATATCTGGATAGAACAAGTGGATGAAGGTCACTGAAGTGTACCAATAATGAAAAAAGATGACAGAAAAGGAGGGTAACCACTATAGAAATGGATATTAATACATTGTATCCTGTATGTTATCACCATACAGATTATCTATACATGGAAGCTTGATGGATTTTTCTTTCTCATGATTCATTCTTGTACTTCCTCTAAGGTTTAGAAATCTAAATGTCTATGGTTTGTGGTAACAATTTTTATTTTTTTTTAAACCTTCATTCATATCATCAAGTGACTATGCAAACAAAGAGCATATACAGATGATGGAAATTCGGTTCTACCCCCATAAATATTCCTATGTTTGAGAAGGGCACAACCGCACAAGGGAATAATAATGTGTGTATTTGACAAGACTGATAAGAGCGGAATTTATGTCGTGAAGTTAAAACTAAAATTTTACTAATTTTTATAAGAAAGGAATAAGATAAATATATAGTTTTTAAAGGCTGTTTAATTTATACAATTGATTGAGGGTAATAGCCTTGGGGTGTGTCCATTTATTGACTCGATTGGTTTCTACAGACCTTTTTTCAGATTTTTTAATCTTTTAAATTAAATAAAGTTTATTGCTACTCTTAATTATTTTTTTAATTTTTTAACATAATCAGTCAATTTTTATGCTAGTTGCTTAAAATATTTCGTACATTGTTAATAACACTATAAATGTGAACATCAGATACCCCGACACGCTACTTTTTGGAAAAAAATGCATGTCGTGTCACGGACACGTTCTAACACCTGTCCGACATGCGATCAATATTTTAAGACATGCGATCAATTTTCCGATACGTTCCGACACGTTTTTTCGACACGCAGTCAACGTTTCGACACGCATCCGACGCGTTTTTTTTTTTTTTTTTTTACTCTTAATTTTATTTTACTAACTAAACATAAAAAAAATGATTTATAAATCAATTTTTTTCTGTTATAAAATTTGACATTAAAAATTAACAAGATATAAAAAATTATTTTTATTTATATGAAATTTGAATATTTGATTGGTTATACGACTTATTATGGACTGTTATATGTATTAAATATAAATTATATTATATATATATTAAAAATATTATTTAATATCAAAACGTGTCTCAACATATCGAAATATAACATTTTTTAGAATTAACGTGTCGGCGTGTCGTGTCAGTGTCCGTGCATCGTAGAATTGTGAACCAGCTTAAATAATTTAAAAAAATAAAAATAAAAAGCCAAACAGAACACACCGTGGAATCTGGATTGTGTTAGATGATTAAATAGTTTTAACAGTTCAGATATTATGTAGCCACCATGTATCAGGCCCAATGCTTCTAAGCCTAAACGCAGCAAGGCCAGCTCATCACATCTTAAGGAGAGTACATTGACTAAGACACAATGTTTGTAGAATATGGCTCTAGGCTCTCCCTGGTCCCGCAAACCCTTCCCTCTAGTCAATTACATGCAAAGCTGTCTAAATGTTCTTTTGCTCAGTCATCTATACATTTTTTGGGCACGTTCTTTGTAGTATGTATTTCTCTAAAACATTGGGCCTTTTTTACTTGCATTCATCCTTAATGGGCTGATGACTACTATTATTTGTTTGGCCCTATTATCTCTTTGCTTGACACATCAGTTTCTCTTACCTTTGTAAGGTCTTTTAAGCAACTAATTTGATATGGTGTCGTTTATCAATTGTGAAGATTTATTAACCCTTTGGTAACTTAGCTGATGTGTGTGTGGCATTTTTTACACTGATACACTGATATTCATTTCTCTCTCTCTTGTTCTTATCTTCTTGAAAGTTCATCGATTAGGGTTTGTGAGAGAGAGTTTTGGGAAAAATCTAGCTTGTAGAGTGAGTATCTTTACATGCTGTTTTTGGAGATCCTTGTTCAGCTCAACAAGGGGATTCTTTTGATCGGTGCACAATCCTGATTGATACTCAAACGGTGGAGAGGCAAATCTGCAAGGAGGATCGGTGAAGCTCACGGTTGTCAGCTTGGAGATCCAGTGAGAGGAACTACGATTCCTCTACTGTCTAGTGAAGATTGGTGACGTCTATTCCATCCTTTCTTTGGGTTTTGATAATTGGTTACCGATCTGTTAAGCTTGATGTTTTTTCGTTCAAGTTTGTTTGCTCTTGTTGTTCTGCTCTGTATATGATTTTTTCTTCATTTGATTAGTTTTCTTTATCGTTGTATATGCAAGTCATAACTCTATACCTGTGATTCTTGATCTCTGAATAGAGTGTGATATCAGAGGGCGTTTAACCCTCTTTAGGCCCCAGGACGTAGGAAACTCACTAACCCTGAGTTTCTGAACCTGTAAAATACTGGTGTACTGATTCTTTATTCTTTCTTGCTATGTTTCTTGCGTTACTGTTTGTGAAACGGATTTCCCAAATTACAACATTCTTGTATCCGTGAGCGAAGTCTCCCCTGACCCCACGAAAATACATGCTAGTACTGATTGGTTTAATCCATCTTCGATCACCCAACTTGATGCATTTCAAGGACTCTTTAAGGCTACTATCGCATATAATGACCAAGGAAGAGTTTCTTTGGTAATCAAAAGCAATGAATGCATTTACAAGACAACTATGAAAGACTTGTTAACAAGGTCTCAATTTTTAATGAAACCTTTGTACTTGAAACAGATACCTCTGCCATTCTGTTTTATTCCCAAAAGATGCTTACAGCGTTCTATAGTCGTAAACGTTTGCCATTACTTTACTTCGGCATTGATCACGAGAATTTGCATCAAGTGATCCAAACCCAAGAACAATAACGATTCCTTTCTAAATTATTGTACTACCAATATGCCTACCCGTAGCGGATGCTTACTAGAACTCAGATTAATACAAGGAGATGGCTTGAACATGAGAGGGAGAGGAAGAAAAAGGGAAGAGAAGAAATTGAGGGGGGAGAGAATTTGACAACCTTTTCTTCATGATTTTCATTAGTGTTGTCTTATGACATATATACTCACTAAGGGGTGTTAACAGAAAGCTAATAACAAATTCAAAAGGAAAAATTAATAACATCAGAATAGGGAAAATAACATATATGCTCATGTGCCTGATCATAGTCCGACATCTCCTTGGTTTGTACTGTTACAAATACAATCTAAGATGCCAAACAAGCTTGCCAGAAGAGCCTGTTCTTTTCAATCTCATCCACCAACTCTTGACCTGAATCAAATGACACTGAGGATTCCTTGTGTTCTTCTTGCATCTCATCATCTTCACAATATGATGTTCCATAAACCTTATCTTTCTCCTCATCCTGTTTCTTCTCATCATCATCATCATCACCACAAGACTCATAACCATTGAGCTCAGCAGCATTACAAGTATCAGATACATCATAGCTGCAAGATAGAGCATCATCATCATCAACATCATCACCACCAACTCTGGCTATTTCACAAGCATATCCATCCATTTTGGGATCACAATCAACTTCAGAGTCACCAGTGGCTTCAAAATGAATGTAAGAAGAAAATTCCACAGGGTCCTTCCTGTCCATCAACCTGGTAACAAAATGAAGTTTCTTCTTCTTCTTTGTTTTCCCCTTGTTTATTGAGTTTGATGTGTTAGGATCCTACAACAACTAGAAGGGCATTCAAAGCACTCAAACGATAGTAAAATAAGAAGCAAAGTACGTGGGATCTATTGTTTGTGATGGTTTTCTGGAATGGTAGTGCATGCGGCATGCCCAAAAGCAATAGCCAATTAGGATTTCTGCTCACGCTCTTCTAGATGAAACGGTCGATCGACTATACACTGATGTAACGTAAATGGAGCCTTATCTATAGAAGCTGATTTATTATATATATCCTCATATTCTAGAAGGAGGTCTTATTTTGTTTTGTTCCTAGCGTCATAGTTCCATGGTTCACAAGTTAGATCTGTGGGTAATGTCTCGTATGAAATAATCAATTTTCGTACCGACACATAAAAGTGGGCCCATCAATTCTTTTACTTTTTTTTTTTTATTTTAAAAATAGTGGCCCCCACAATTGATTGTCTTTATGACATGACTTAAAAATTTTCCTACAACATAATACTTGTTTTTCTCTAGATCTATATAAGATTTTCTCCGAATCTCTTTCGAAAGTTATATTTACAAACTTTTTTTCTATGACTGATCGGTAATATATTATTGAGTAGAATATTATTGGTCAAACATAATGTAATTTATAAGTTTGTAAAAAAAAAAGTTGTCAATTGTTTTTAAGCCATAAATGAAATTGTCCTCTCTTTTTTCTGATTGATGGAGAATTATATATTCTGTTTGCAACAATTAACAAACATGAAATGATTTACTTTTACCGTTTAATTAAAAGTAAGTTATCCATACTAAAATTGTGAGGTTCAATGAGAGAAAATTTGTTACAGCCTAATTCTAGGAAATTAGCAAATTAAAAAATTGGTTTAAACATGTAACAATAAATTAGCGTTCGGTAAATGTATTAAAATGGGACAAAACATAATATACGAGTTCTAGTGTATATGTGGTTTATTTTAAAAATAGAAGAAAAAAAAAAAAAACAGCTTATAACCAAATAAAATGTTATATTTTTTGTGTTTGCAGTTCCGTGAATGATATTGTGGACGGAAAGCAAAAATTATGGGCTTGCAGGAAACGTAGGGCGGCCAACGTACAAAAAAATCTGGGGTCGCTTTTAAGTTTGAGCCTTTTGACTTATTCTCAGTATTTTCAGATCTCTTCATCGTTGACGCCTAGAATCAATTCAAATGAAAATGTGGTTAAATGCACGGGTTTTATAAGAGTTATGTTGTAGGAAAAATGATTGTGTAATGTTATAGAGATTCGTTTTACGTGCCTTAATTTTTTATTTATTTTTTTGTTTTAAAAAGTGTGGGCCCCACAAAATGTTGTGAGGGTAAGAAAGTTTGTTGTGTTATGTTAAACGATAAAATGAAAACCCTAAATATATTTGTAATTTGTACGTAAAATTTGTCAAGAAAATATCTCCTTTAGCTAGAGCAAACTTAGCGAGGTATGCACGTTGTGTCCCTCGTTTATAAGATATAAAGGTATCGTTGCGTATACATAATTTTTTGTGAATGACAGTGCAATTATATATATATTTTAAAATTGATGTGAAGTAAGATGAAATTTTTAAAAAAAATTAAAAACTTTAACTTTAACCGGTTAAAATATAAAATATAATTTTTGAAATTTTTTGAACGATGGGGGATAACACCCCTAACCAATGTTATTAAATCAGACTAGATTATTAACCTGGCTGGAATATTAAGTTTCTGGATCCAAGTTCAACTAGTGAGTCACATATTTATTCAGATAAGTACAAGCAAATCTAATCCACAAACATACTCAAATACCTATAAAAAAAGTATATCAATTTCAAATATTCTAATATGAAAAACAATAAAGCACCCATCATTTCTTCAACAAATATACAAATCAGGAGCTGTGTTCTCTGGTTGCAGCTGATACCTGGGACCCTGGATTAGCACCTTCTGATAGTCTCAGCGTTCCTGGAACTTTTTTCCCTTTATAGTTTTGCTTTGCTTTGTTTGGGCGTTGACCCTCTATGTACCAAAAAAAATATATATACAAACAAACATATAATACTTGTTTTGTCAAACATTTAACTTCTATCACAAGTATACAACATTAACTCTTTTTGCTATCAAGAGAAAATAAACAAATCAAAATGAATTTGGCAGTTTGAGAGAAAGTATTTGGCATTTTAGGAGGAGTAATGCACAAAAGTTTGCAATAAGCTCTGATTTTTTATTTTATTTTTGTTATTTTTTAAAAAGATGCATGACGTGCCGATCTTTTTATGAACTAACTGGGTCACAGGTTTTGTTAAAAGTCGGTCAAGTCAAACCAATTTTCACCAAGACAATTACATGACCGGTCTATTAATTGACTCAATCCGGTTAGACGATCGGTTACATCTTATTCACCTATGATATCCTCTTGAAATTAATCATGCATTTACCCATGATAACTTTTATGGGAGAAATGATTTTGCATGCCAATTTTCATTTTCAACGAAACTCTACACATGAATTAGTTTCTGCACAAGAGCCAGCCTAATCTGAATACAAAAGATAAAATATGTAAATTTGTCATAGAGAAATATAACAGACAATTATACAAGGTCTTCCAATTGTGTATTCTTTTGGTTTTAGAAATAAATCAGCGAAGTTTTAGTGGGTAGAATACATCATCGCCAATTGCGGCCCAGCCACATGCTTCCGAATAATGTTTTGGTGGACCCCATTCCAACACTTGAGATAAAAAATACATGAGACTAAATATGATTATAAAATAAAATTTGTATGTATATTTATGTATGTTTAAAATTATTTCACAAAAATAATACAAATATAAAACATATTATAGGTTAATATTGGTGACTGGAAAAAAATGTGCTTTTCGGTATTATTATTTAATTTTTTTTAAAAGAAATTAATTATAATGATAAGAGAATTTTTAACAATTCTTTGACTACAAAATAATGTAATATAAAGATGGAGTAAGGTAGTATTCGTTGTTTAAAAAAATGTACATTATTAGTGATAAAATCCCAATGGAAAAAGTTAGTGGCGGCTGTGGAGTGGTTGGAGCTTTAACCAGTTTTACCAGTTCGGAGTTGAGACCGCTGTTCGTATGTCGATGGCTAAGAAACCTGTCAAATACTCGGTGGTATGTTCCTCTCTGCCAACTATGTTGTTGTTTTTGTTAATTACCGTGTTACTTGATCTGAGTTAGATAAGCAGGTGGACGCGTTTGCTGAGTCAGCGTTCAAGGGGAATCCTGCAGCTGTGTGTTTCTTAGAGGAAGATAGGGACCATCACTGGTTGCAATCTGTTGCCGCCGAGTTCAATATCTCCGAAACCTGTTACTTAACTCGCATTGCTGAGTCTGATGACAACCTTAACTCGCTCCATGGAAACTCTAATCCCCGTTTTCATCTCAGATGGTTTACTCCTGTTACTGAGGTAAATTGAATGTATTCATGATTATTAATAGCTTCCATTTTCATATTGGATGAAATTCTTTGAGCTCCATGAGTTATTAAATGCCTTATTTAAACTATTAACATTAATAGGAACCTTATGCAGGTGAAACTTTGTGGCCATGCCACATTAGCTGCTGCACACACTCTATTTTCATCTGATTTGATGGATGCCAATATTATTGAGTTTGTGACACTATCTGGAGTATTAACTGCCAAAAAAATCCCGGCTATCAATATCACTGGTGCCTCAAACTTGCAAAATGGTAAAGATGAGGATGGATTTTATATTGAATTGGATTTTCCTGCTGACCCTATTACAGAGGTCAACTTTGATGAGACTTCACTAATTTCTGGGGCTTTGAACGGTGCTTCCATAATTGATATAAAGAAGTCACAAATTGGAGATGACTTACTTGTAATTCCTATATCTTCTCTCTTCCTTTTTCATTATTGTCTTGTGTTCACAAATTAAAGGTTAATTATTTCCTAGGAAAACAACATATCTATGCCATACTGGTGTCTGGTGATGACCATTTTTCGTTGTCATTTACTCCTACATATATGTTAATCTGGTTGATTATTTGAAAAAGGAACAGTATATATCTCGTGGTTCACTAATCTTACCTCAAAATAACATGTATGTGTTTTGAGCAATTTGTGTACATCAAACATTATGAGGCTTATCATTTCTCCTAGGTTGAAGTCACATCTGGAAAAATTGTAACAGAAGTACAGCCACAACTTGATGCAATAGTTAAATGTCCTGGAAGGGGGATAATTGTTTCAGGGATTGCTCCTCCTGGATCGGGATTTGACTTCTACAGTCGATTCTTCTGCCCGAAATTTGGAATCAATGAGGTTAGTGGCTAAGAATTATGACTGTAATGTTCCTCCAAAATATGATAACAAGTCCAATCTTCCATTTCAGTCCAATATATGGAAATAGAATGAATGAGATAATGTTAAATAGCGCGTATTTCCTTTCAGGATCCTGTTTGTGGGAGTGCACATTGTGCCTTAGCAACCTACTGGAGCAAGAAGCTGGGGAAGTGTGATTTCAATGCTTATCAGGTACTCTTCTATCACTCATTGTGAATGTCTTTGCCATTGTCGTACTAAATGTAGATTACATTTATGCAGGCATCACCAAGAGGGGGAGTTCTGAATATTCATCTTGATGAGAGGAACCAAAGAGTGCTTTTGCGTGGGAAGGCTGTTACGGTGATGGAAGGGTGTCTTCTGGTCTAGTCATGTTCCTACCGTTGCAGAATATGTTGTAATTGGAGTACTGAACTGTTATGATGCTTTATCAAAAAAAATAAAAATCTCAGCTTTCTGTATTTGATACATATAAACCTGGGTGTGCAGTCCGTATAATAGTCACATTTGTTGAGTTGAATAAATTGGTCTGGTTATCACTTTTGATAGCAGATCCTCTACCCCAAATCCCACCCAAAAAAAATAAAATACTTATTATTTTCAAATGGTAAGCAATTGTTAATTTAATTTACAGTTTATTGTTCATATGTATGTATTTTAGCATAATATCAATTTGTTAATTTTCTTATCAGCTGGTGAGATTTTTTATTTCCCTCAAAAGTTGAGAGGTTGAGCCAAATCCCTTCTCTTTTATGGTTGCATTATTGGACATTTATTTTGAAATACTGAAGGAGCATGCGGTTTGAGAGTCTCATTTAGTGATTAGATTCGATTATGAGTGGCAAAAGATTAGAGCATTCAATTTAACTACATCCATGCGAGGTTAATGTGTGTGTGGACTGTTTTGCAAAATTTTAAGAGATTCTGTGTAAGACATAAGTCTACAACAGATCATTCAAGGGAAATAGAAAGAAGAACATGTAAAGCTATATTTTTATATGCTTTGTAGGTGGATGCACAACTAGAAGAATTTCATTAGTGGTGAAAGTATGTACCTGCGGAGGAACAATGGGGTGATCCATTAGAGTATGTTGCAGGATACAATTGAGAATGCTGAGAGAATTCGGAGCTACTTGCAGATCTCTTAGGAGAATAGGATGTAGATTGTTAAATTTTGTGTAACTTATTTGTTGCTTTGGAACTTTTTGCACTCCTTATTTATTATAAAAAAAAGAAGAAGCATGCTTCTATATATGTCATAATGACATAAAATCAAGTATTTATGACATAAATAAATGGGGAGATAATTCATCCTCTACATATAAGAAGCACCTTATTCCCTTGTATCCTCAATGGTCTCCTGCATTCTATACTCTAATGGACCACCCCAAAATTCCTCCGCAGGTACATACTTTCACCACTTATGAACTTATTCTGATTGTGTATACGGTGACAAAGCTTCTAAAAAAAACAGCTTCACACATGTTTTTCTTTCTATTTACCTTGAATTATTCGGTTGCAGACTTATGCCTTTGAAGCAAACTGCCCCAAGTGTCAAAAGAAGGTGAAGAAATTGCTATCAAGACTGGATGGTAATGTTGTGATTTGTCCCCGTCTTAACTTCTATAAATATGAAAATGCTCAAGCTAATTTTCATAGGAACTTTGTTTATATGCAATTTTCTAGGTGTTTCCACCATCAAGGTTGAAGTAGATGAAGGAAGAGTGACAGTGAAGAGTACATTCAATTCTAATAGGCTTTCTTCGATCATTAGAGAAACCATTAAAGAACAGGGATATTCATGTGAAGCCCGGATACCACAACCAAATGACCAAGAGAATAATAGCCACATGCCAATTGCTGCTGGTATTGGTATTGGTCAGAATGTAACGAGCCCTAATCTTATAGTACGGGTTGGGCTAAGGGACAAGGAAGAAACTAGTACAGCCCACTAAGCTCTTTGACTATAAACTGGGCTGAGGATATTTTAATTCAATTAAGTCCTAATAGTAATGTTTGTAATTTCTGCCATTAAAGGCCCATTAGGTGCCATATTGTAATTTCTGCTGTTAAAGGCCCATTAGGTGCCATATCCTAGGGTGTAATTGATATAGTCACGTTGAAGCAATGAAGGAGGCATGTTAGAAGTAAAATACTCTCTCCCTTCTCTCTCTTCTTCTTCTCTTATCCCCTAAACCCTCTTTTGTTTTCCCTGGCTACACTGGTGCTTTTGTTGAGCTCTCATGGCTGAAAACACACACCTACGTGATATAACACAGCATGTTCGTGAACTCCAACAATCCCGTCAAGCAGTACAAGAGCAAATCTCTAATCTAGAGCTTGCTCAGGATCGCCGCTTCAGCGCAATGGAGCTGTCACAAAACCAAAGGATGGATGTTCAAGGCCAACGTATGGACACATTGCAACAACAATTGCAAGAGGTTCTTACTATCCTCCATTCTTCCCCATCCTTCACTGATCCAAATGATGGCGTGTTAGGCTCTGGTCCATCACGTTCATCATCTAACAACACTCAAGAGCATCATCGTCAACGTCAGATGAAGCTTGATTTCCCCAGATTTGCAGAGGGTGACCCTATTGACTAGCTATTTGTTGTAGAACGCTACTTTCGTTTCTACAATGTACCGAATCATGAACGTCTTCTGGTAACCTCCTTTAACCTAGATTCACCTGCATCTTCCTGGTTTCAATCCTTAGATCAGGACGGATCTCTTCCAGATTGGGCCTCTTTTACTACAGCCCTACACCGTCGCTTTGGCCCGATGGAATTTGAAGACCCATCAGTAGCGATTGCTAAGCTACAACAAACAGGAACCGTCACCGATTATTACGCAGCATTTGAAAAATTGTCTCGCAAGATTACAGGGTTATCGACCACTATCCGTAAGGGACTTTTCCTAGCCGGTTTAAAATCAGCAATCTGATGTTCAGTACTTGTTCACCGACCACAAGACGTACATGATGCCCTTGCATACACCAAAGTCTATGAAGAAAAGCTAGGAACCGAAAAACCATTCAAACCTTGGGCTTCTCGCCCAAACCCTACCACTCATGTGCCCCAACCGACTCAAAATATAACCTCACTCCACCTGTCAAACAGTCTCCAAACCTGTCATCGTTACCCATTCGCCGCTTATCACCAGCGGAAATGCAAGCTAGACGTGACAAAAATCTATGCTATAATTGTGATGAGCGGTTCACTGCAGGGCATCGATGTAAGGGGAGACCATCCCTTCTGTACTTAGAAGGATTTGAGGACGACATTGCTGAACTTCCACCTGAGGAGGATCCTCCTCCTGAAACGGAATTTATACCAGAAATCAGTTTGAATGCCCTCTTTGGACATAGAACCTTAAACTCATTTCGACTCACAGGAAAGATTAACGATACAGGTGTGCAGATATTAATTGACGGAGGTAGTACTCACAATTTTATAACACATAGAATGGCCTCATATCTTGAACCTTGTTATGCATGCCATCCCTCCCTTTAATGTACACGTTGGTAATGGTGATACTCTTACATGTTCAGCTATACCCTTAAATATTCAGTCCAATTCTTTTGTAGTTGATCTATTTGTTTTAGAACTTAAAGGTGCAGATGTTGTATTGGGCGTCCAATGGTTGGCTACACTTGGACCTATTATTACAGATTATGTTGCATTATCAATGGCATTTACACTGGCAGGGAATAAAATATTGTTGCATGGGAACCAGGACATTGGACCTACTCCTATTACATCAGCCCAATTACACAAAATGATTACCCAGGACTCTATCTCATCTTGTTTGATGTGCCTATCTTCCACACCCGCCATATCCCCAACAAACCCACCCCATACAGATAGCCTAGCACCCCACCACCCCTGACCACTTTACTGCAAGAATTTACTGATGTTTTTGCAGTACCTACTACATTACCACCTGACTGTAACCTTAACCATCGCATTCCCCTAGTCCAAGACGCTAAACCAGTACAAGTCAAACCCTATCTCTACCCTCACTACCAGAAAAGTGAGATTGAAAGACTGATATCAAAGATGCTAGCTGCTGGTATCATTCGCCATAGCCAATCGGAATACAGTTCCCCAGTTCTACTAGTAAAGAAAAAGGACGGTACATGGAGGTTTTGTGTAGATTATCGCGCCTTAAATGCACTCACTATTAAGGACAAGTTTCCTATACCTACCATTGATGAACTAATAGATGAGCTACATAGGGAAACAATCTTCTCTAGACTTGACCTCAGATCGGGTTTTCACCAGATAAGAATGCATTCTACTGATATTCATAAGACGACTTTTCGTACTCACCAAGGACACTATGAGTCCCTAGTGATGCCTTTTGGCTTGAGTAATTCCCCCTCTACCTTCCAAGCCACTACAAATCAGGTTTTTGCAACTTATTTGCGCAAGTTTGTTGTGGTATTCTTTGACGATATTCTCGTCTATAGCCCATCAGAATCTCTTCATTGGGATCACTTGGCAACAGTCCTAACCACTCTAAGGGCTCACTCTTTATATGTGAAGCTCTCTAAATGCCTATTTTCTCAGCCTTCAATTAACTTTTTGGGCCACATTATTTCTGGTTCTGGTGTCCAACCAGACCCAAGCAAATTACAAGCGATTTCAGGTTCGCCAGTACCTACCACAGCTACACAACTAAGGGCATTTTTGGGTTTATCAGGCTATTACAAAAAATTCATCAAACATTATGCAACAATTGTGGCCCCTCTCACGGATCTCTTATCTAAATCGGGCTTCCATTGGAATTCAAGGGCTGATCATGCCTTTAGTAAATTGGAGGCCCTTTTGACAACAGCACCCATATTGGGCCTACCCAATTTTACTTATCCCTTTGTTCTAGAAACAGATGCTTCGGGCGTGGGCATAGAGGCTGTTTTACTCCAAAATGAGAAGCCCATTGCTTTTTACAGCCGCAAGCTAGCACCCATAATGTAGGGAAAATCTCCATATGTCAGGGAGATGTTTGCAATCTCCGCAACAGTCTCTAAGTGGCGCCAATATTTGTTGGGCTCACCATTTGTGATTCGTACAGATCACAAAAGCCTTAACAATTTGATGAATCAAGTGATACAGAACCCCGAGCAACAGCAGTTCCTCTCTAAATTACTGGGGTATAATTACACTATTGTCTATAAATCCGGCAAAGCAAACGTAGTGGCCGACGGATTGTCTAGACAAACAGAGGGTGCCTTTGATGCTCAGACCCCTCAATTAGCAGCCATTACTAGCCCCGCGTTAAATTTCACTTTAGTTCTACAGTCCGAATTAAGTACAGATCCCTACACTACCAAGGTCATACAAGAAATACAACAAGATCCTAGTCTATGGCCTGACTGGAAATACAAAAATAATTTGTTGTTTCATAGACATCGAATTTTTTTGCCTTCGACCTCTTCTTTAATCCCCCATCTCCTTCATGTAGTTCGCGATGCTAAGCAAGGAGGTCAGTGTGGTGTGAAGGCAACCCTTCATCGGCTCACACGTAGTTTCACCTGGAAGGGAATAAACTCGACTGTTAAGGAATATATATCCAAGTGCGAGGTGTGTCAGACACTTAAACCACCAAACCATTCCCCATTCGGACTCTTACAGCCCTTACAACCCCCCCCCCCCCCCAATTCATTATGGACTGACATTACTATGGATTTTATAACACACTTACCGTTGTCCACCGATTATAGCTCGATATTGGTAGTTTGGACAGATTTTCTAAGGCCGCTCACTTTGCTCCGCTTCCAGCCCATTACTCAGCCTCCAAGGTGGCATCAGTTTTTTGGGATACCGTCGGCAAGCTGCACGGTCTTCCCCACACTATTATTACGGACAGAGACCCCATCTTTCTGAGTGATTTCTGGAAAACTCTGTTTCGACTACAAGGAACAACACTGAAGTCTAATTCCTCGTACCATCCGCAGACGGACGGACAAACTGAACGAGTCAACAGGTGCTTAGAGTCTTACCTCAGGGCTTTTACCCACGCACACCTCAACACATGGTCACGTTTCCTCAGCTGGGCACAGTACCATTATAATACCAGCTATCATCATTCCACTGAGTTTTCGTCGTATGAGGTGATATACGGCAAATCGCCGCCAGACTTAGTAGCATATTGCCTGGGATCCTCTCCCAATGAGGCAGTGGACTCCACCTTGTCATCTCGCCACACCATATTACAAACGTTAAAAGAAAATCTCAAGAAAGCTCAACAAACAATGAAAACACAAGCTGACAAAAAAAATGAAAAGGTTGGAGCTTTACCGTCGGAGATCTGGTTTTGCTCCGATTACAACTATACTGCCAAGTCTCCGTCAACCGTCGGTCGTCCCAAAAGCTCAGCTTGCGTTACTACGGTCCATTTGAGATACTGAACAGAGTAGGAGAGGTTGCATGCTGTCTCAAGCTACCACCTTCAGCTCGGATCCATGATGTCTTTCATGTTTCAATGCTACGCCCGTTCAAACAGGGCCACACCTACCAGGTTCACCAGCTTCCAGATACACCAGCAGCTTCTCCGATGGCCCTGACTCCGTATGGGATGATAGCAACCAGATCCATATGGCGAAGGGGGAACTTGGTTCCACAGGTACTTGTCCAGTGGCTGGGACTACCGTCGGAGGACTCCACGTGGGAGGACAAAGTCGACGTGCTTCAGGGGAACTCCCGTTTGGCACACGACGTGGCCGCGCTGGATAACAGGAATGCACACATGCGTCCTTTGGTTACTGACTTGAAGAATTCTGTATCTAAGGAGCCACAAGAAGGAGACGTTTCTTTTACTGAAGAGACACAACAACCAAATCAGATTGGTCTGCAACAGCCACCTACCATCATTAATGCAAACCAGCCCACTTCACCTTTCCAACGCAATCCAACGGTTACTACACCCATGATCCATCCAACCCAATCTCAGCCCTTGGATAGCGTTCAAAACCCATCAGTACTGTCGCCCACTCCCACCCAGTCATTATTGCAACACGCTGCCCCAGGATTGGACCACGTGGACCGGCTACGCCAAAACCTCGCGGACGAGTCTTGTCTTGCAGGCGGGAGACATGTAACGAGCCTTGATCCTACAGTACGGGTT